GTTCAAGGTCCTCAGGTTGTAGGGTCTAGTGTTAAATGAAGGTTCTATAGATTTATTACAGTGCACAGAATGTTTGGGATTGATTTCATTTAGGAGGTTTTGGGCTAGTATAGTGCTTCAGAAGAACTGATTGCATGGAGGAATCGCTAGACCAGCATTAGAATGCTAACAGGGCTCTCTACCACGCTGAAGCTTCAGCATCTTCGCCTGAAGATCCTGCGTAAAGACAGTCTGGCAGGAATTTGCAGGCTGCATGTATGTGGAATGCTGCTATCAGTCCTGGATTTGATCCAGAATTTCACGCTCATCCTCCGGTAACTCCTCTTTCACCACCCCATGCTCAGAGATGGACTGGAGGATATCCAGGCCACGCGCAAGGGTCTCCCGGGAAGAACCTAGACTAGTCGACGTCATGGCTTGAGAGCATAACTTGGGTGGCCGCCAATTTCCGGCATTTCGCCGCCAATTTCCGGCATTTCGCCGCCAATTTCCGCAATTGTTCGGTCAGCGTTTTTTTCATGCGCCAGCGGGTCAAGATTGCAGCAGCCGTGAACCGAATCCACACACCGAAGGCAAAGCCCCGTCAAGTACGAGAATCCCTTGCGTAGGTCTGAAAGAACCCTTTGAGTATCCATCGGCGCGCAAGCTTTGGCAGGGCTTCGCCCGCTAGCCTAGTAAGTCAAAATCCATGGCCACTTTCGGGATGAGCTCTTTAAACTCTGCGGGAACTTTGATGCGTTTAGCAGTCCGAAGGTAGCAGACACAATCTTCCAAATGCGCCTCTGGCCAACTTGGCTCATCATAGCTGAGGTTCGAAAACAGATCAACGAGGCTGAGATCTGGATGGCTGTCAGTCACCTGCACTATGGGAACCGAACCCTCAAGTTCTTATATAAAGACATAAACTATGACGTATCCATTCGAAAGGGCCTTGATTGTCGGTCGTGGAAGTTCCCGGGCTTCATGGACCATGTCAACAATCTTGCGCGCGAAGAGCGGGGGATGCACACTTAGCTTCAGTCTTGCATGTTCATGAATGCATGGCAGCATAAGAGAAATTGAAGGCATCGAAAAGAAGTTCTAACTAGAGGGTCTTGAGGCCTTTATACCGCTTCTTGCCTTTGGAGTCTACGTATGCCTCCGAACATTTGAGGAGGCTCTTCTTCTGCTCACCAATCAGGCGAGCAAGACTCAGCGTGCGGATTAGGGGACTCCAGGACCAAACCACACTGCGTTTTGGATTAGGATGCCCCCAGTGCTTCATCCAAAACCTCTGGACATAGACCTTATATATGTGCAGAGACAATTGCAGACAGATCGACCAGCTCTTGCGCATGTATTCCGCTATATAATTGCAGAAGAATAAGAGCTGGAACATTCGCCAGCTTCAGAACACGGAAGAGAAATTGGAAGCGCGGATAAAATCCCAACGTTGTTGAGCCAGGGTTCTCGACCACAAAGTGATGACCAAGGCAGCTCAGCAGGGCCAAAAGTAGCATTGTCCTGCAGGATCCATTAAACAGTCATGCAAAGTCAAGACCAATGGAACTGCGAAACATGCGCATGTGTATCCTGGAAGTTGACATATTGGCCCCTGCAACCGAGGGGGCATTGGGATTGCCCCATGGATTCAGCTCATCTCGGCACGAGGTCGCTCGGTTGATAGCGAGGAATGTGCTACATTCTACGCCTAACATTGCGAGGGCTCCATTTCGATTCCCACAAAGGATCATGAGGACTGCAAGCCTAAGCTTCAATGTAAGTCCAGTGCTGCTTGCGCAAGATGTCACGCGTGTGGAGCTGTAACGTCAGAGTATATACAGCCAACATGCAGCTGAGGTACGCAAATCCTGCACTCTCGTTGAGCTCAAGAGATGATTTGGGATGCTGGTCGTAAACCTTGTCCGTTGCCAAGCATCTGTACCCAGCGGCATTTGCCATTCTATTAATTCTTGCCCGACCTGCGTAAATTTCCAACACATCGAACCCTTCGCAGGTAGCAAAGCCTGGCTTCTCCATCCAAAATACAAGCAGCACGATGGCTATGAATGCCTGAGATTGCATGGTAGATTCTACACGACCGTCTGAAAGGCAAACACAATTCAAGAAAGAAGTCTTCGTGAATCTTTACAAGTGACCTTGGGAACAGCGAGGGACCATGCTTCTATGATGATAAGCGAGCGGCCGGGATCTACAGAAGATCAAGTGGTCTAAGCCATGCTGCAGCATGTACCAGCTGGAGCGTTCGTGAATGCATTTATAGCACAGCCCTGACTGCAACAGTAGAGTCAGCGAACAAGAGAAGTCATGCCCTGCACTTGGACATGTGCAACTGTCTAGGAGATTCAGGAACACCCGCTGCATCACATTCCCCCAGAATTATATAAATCCATGGTTGTAGGGACCTATAGCCTATAGTGGGCGCTGAGTTTAATGATTGGGATCATTCTGTAGAACCTCGAGAACCAAACCAATTTTCCTCACCAGAACCCTTGACCAAAACCAGCCGATGGTGCCTTCATCTGAGGAAGGCAGGCAGCCGCGCCTCGCCAGGAAGCCTTGCCCTCTCTTGATTTTCATTTGAGAACCTGGGCGCGGTGGAGGTTATAGGTTTCCAGCAGGATCCGTTAAATCAAGGGCAGGACATGCAATCAGATGGAACCAATTTGGTAGTGCGCTCCGCAGTTCCATATACTCTTATATTTGGGACCCAACCTCCTGTTTTCCTAGAAAAACCGACACTTGGGACCCGCAATGACATTCTCCAGACTAGATTCCATAACGTGGTCACGTAGCTTAACACTCAAGGGCAGATTGTGTGAAGCACGTGCATGCAAACAGTCGATAAGTACCATGGTCCCCGTGTGGGTTGGTCTGCCTGCGCACTTGCGCTCATGCACCCGCCGCACCAACATATCATGATGCTGCAGGATGATGGCTACATGAAACCTAAGTGGCCCCGTTGGCGCGGGCATATCCCACGCAGCAGAATTAAAATATTCTGCACGATCTTCCCCATCACACTGCCCCGTCAAGGATTTTTCTTCAGGAAATCCTTAGCCGCCTTGGTTGCCCATGTCTTGTAATCCAGCATCGCGCTGTTCTTGACCATTTTCGGCTTCGTGAACTGCCAGAAGGGCTCCTGCAGACAGATCTCAGAAAAATGGAAAAACATTCGCATTAAGGGCATCACTGCAGCTTGAATAAGAAGCATGCTATAGGCTACAATCGTGATAACTGCACAGAATTTGGTGACCCTCCTGCTGAGCGGCACCAAAGCTCTTGCTAAGCGCTGCGTTGTAGGCATCACGTATGGCCAACCACTGGTTCTTCGCATCCTCTGTCTTTGGCGGAGCCCGTCTTGCAAAGCTCTTGTCCTCATCGGAGTGGCGTGTCCTCTTCCTTTTCTGTGCCCCGGCTTGCTCGTCATCACCATCTACGTTTGACGCTTTAATGTTGGGGTCCTCATTCTCCTTTGCTGGGGCTGGGGCCCTGCTTTTAACTGGGCTGGACTTGACTGCAGCTTTACGGCTGGTTGCTGGAGAAACCTTGGGAGGTGTCTCAAGCTCTTCCTCACTTGGGTTCTTCTTGGATTTGGCTTTGGGTTTCGGGGTAGCAGGGGTCTTACACAAGGTTCCGCCGGCACTGCAGCCGGCAGCTGGCTTCCGCAGTACCGCGCGGCCTCGCCCGCGTCCTCTCCCGCATCCTGCGCCGCGCCCTCTACCACCTTTGCCTCGGCCAGGTTTCTTGGCAGCAGGCTCTTCATCCTCATCGTTGTCAAACTCTGGTCTGTTGCCATGGCCACGGACACCCTCCACAGACCTTGCCTGCTCGAAGCGGCATGGCTTGCCCTGATGCAGGGGCAAATTTAAGAACTTCAACAAGCAAAAATCATCACCAGCATCTCATGATCATAATTCAATTTAAGTCCATTGGTGGCCTCGTAAGTTGTGACATCGAACGAGTCTGCAGAGGCAGCATCCCCATCTCCGCTCATGCACTCTGCGTCTGCATCTACGGCCTTCGAAGGTTGGCCACCATCAGCCAAGTTGCCTTTGTCGAACCCTGGGCCTGCGTCAGCAACTTTGCCTGCGTCAGACCCTGGGCCTGCATCAGGCACTTTGCCTGCGTCGAGCAGCCCATCCACAGAAGGGCACGCATCATCCCCCAAGGTTTCCCCAACACCTGCACTTGCAGGCTCAGGCACATGCCCATCCAAGCTGCAAGCCCGCAAAGCTTGCCCGGAAACTTCAAAGGCCAATGTCGGGCTACCTTCCGCTACAAGTTCATCATCCTGTTCTTCTTCATCACTTATGAACTCCACATAGTTCTCCGGCATCCCAGGATGAGCCATGATTTCCCACGGAACAGTGTCCACATTATCCATACCTTAGATCACTACTTATTGCCCTGTATACAAGCTAAAACCCTGAAAGCCTCCGTGCACTCACGCTTGATATTGGAAGCCAAGGAACATCCGCGAGATGCACTTTGGCGTGCGCGCCGTCGATCCTCCAAAGCATTCCTGAGCAGGTGCTTGTTGAGGGGGTTTCATTAGGCTCAAGAAAGAACAGGTCTTGATTGAAGCATGCGTGGCGCACACACTAACTTTTAATTCCAATTACCGCTCTAGAGTCTCAGAGGGGAGAGGGGCTTACATATTGAGGAGGCAAGTCTCTGAAGAATCTGCAACTGCCGGTTGAGACCATTCAACTCATTATCCAAGGCTACGGATTCGGCTGTGGGAGGAACCACCGGGATTTCGGCCGCCTCCGGAAGCTCGGCTGCAGGAGCCTCCCCATTCTCCAGGGGCGCTTCATCACCATCACCAATAGCTTCATACACATCATCATCCGGGTCAACGGGAGCATCAGCCCCCCAAGCCTCTGTCAGAACATCAAAGAGGATGTGCAGGGTTTTGTCCTTAGATGCGCTTGCAGAATGCGATGTCTGGCTTTACTAGTTTGATGGAATATTGAGGTCGCGCAGTCATCATGAGTTCAATGAAGATAAGAGTCCCGGAGGGCCCCGATAGGAGCTTTCCAGCGCCGCATAGCCAAGGTAGCCAGCCGCTTGATCCCCCAAGAATCAACATACACCGCAACAGATCGATTTGACACCCCGGGGCGCAGGAGATCGTGAAGACCAGAAACCTGAGGAATTGCAATAAGATCAGCTCTACCTATCTTACTTGAGAGATGTATCAGGCATGGGCCTCCTGCTTCAACCAATCAATCGGCATAGTCTTGGGCACGCTGGTGTGCGATCCCCAAATCTGGATAGCCAGCTTGATGACAGGCACATTAAGTGCCAGGGATTTCAAGCTTGCAACCCCAACAAGTTTCGGGCTGCACCATGCCAGGAGTTGAGACTTGTTCATCCGGAAGCTGTTCCTGATGTCCGCGTCTTCCTCCATGGCCTTGGTGAGGGTGCCCTTCTCGGGCCACTGCGCTGATGTTTGGCGTCGTACCCGGAGTGTTGGGCCTTCAGGCGCAAGTTCACCCTCAGGTTCTGCAACGCCGTCCATGGCCATGAAGCCTACCCAAATCCAGTGCTTAAGGATACCTGAGCCTAACCCTGAAAATGTACAAGGGTTGGCCAACATGTTCCCAAGAAGCTCCAAGCCAACTATAGGCAGGTGAGGCCAAGGTAAGGCCTGCACCCACGTGGTCGTCAATCAGAAATTGCCAGCCTGCCGGGTCCATGTAGATGTCCAAACAAAAAACTGGAACCCAAGCCCAGCCTTCCCCAAAGTTGCGTAGATGCAATCCAAGCTCCAGCCTAGAAAAGTTCCATGCAGGCGTTTTTGAAAAGTCTCGCGAACATGTGATACTTAGACCCTGCCTCCCCCAAAGTAAATGAAAGCCCAATGTCAACTCGCTGACAAAGAAGACGAGAAAGAACCTGCCCGATGGGTCATGTAACAAGCTATAAAGCCAAGGTAGGACTGCGCGCCTCCAACGTCGAATGTGGGAGGCAAGCGTACCTTCCAGGCACATGCGTTGCCATGTACGAAAACTACACCTGCTATTATTTTTGGAGGTATAGTGTTCCACCATGGTATAGATCTAGCCTCGGAGGCCTTCATGTATATAGAAATCGTTCATATTGAGTCCACTATTCTGGCCTCCAATCATCCCACGGCAGCAGCTGGCCACACACCTGCGGGAGCATAGTTAACCAGTGGAGTGACCTGCAAGTGACATCTTCAGTAGGCGTGCTGGTATAGACCATGAATGTGATTGCCAGCAATGCAAACTTTTCCCCTTCTCTCAGTTTGGAACTCCCCGGCAAAAGCATGTTGCATTGCAATGCATATTTGCTGTACCATGCTGTACACATGCCCTACACAACTCAGCGGCTACGCGGCAGGCACCACAACTTGGAAAGCTCCGGCGCCTGCAGCGGAAAGGATTTGTGCTGAAAGAGATGTGCAAAAAATGCGGCAAAGGGGTCATCAATCTTAATTGCCTGCATTTTCAAATTGGAAATATGTTTAGATTCTAGGTTATCACTGTGCCTGCAGCAATACTGCTGGCCTGGCCCATCTTGCGCAAACAAGTCTAGGAAGTGCTTGCAGATGCCGTTGTTTTTGATGTTGGCGACCACGTCCTCCACGACTTGGTCAGGATCTGGCATCACCTGGTGGGGGCACAAAATTGCTTCGACATGTGTTCACCTAAGTATGGCGTAAGGGTTTGCAGGGCCTCCTGGTCAACATAGATCGCTTGCGCTGCTGATTTCCAGAAAGTTTCAGGCAATCGCATCAATCCTCCAGACCCAGACATTTATATGAAATCACCTTTTTGGACGAGAGCTGATGATGCAAGCTATCCTGCAGTCCTTCCCTGGTTGCAAGAGCTATGATGGCCACGGAACAGCGGGTCAGTGAGCTCACATCCATCATGTTGAGCAGATTTTCTAGCTCGGGACCCTTGAGCAAGTACAGCTGTATCAATGCAGTGCTTGCTCAAGCAATCACAGCCACACCATTCAGACTGTAAGACTTCACCGGACAGCAAGGGCGCACCTCAGAAGAGTGCCAAGCGCCCACCGGGTGCAGCTAATCAGGTAGTCCCAGCCACACGGCAGGCGGAATTGAAAGTGCCCCTCCACCCCTTATCTGGATAAATCCCTAAAGCCAACTACATTGGATCAACTGCCATGAAAGTGCCTTGCAGGTGATTGCAGCTTTCCTCCAGGTCCTTGCATGATTCCCCTCAGCCCATGCCTATACCAGCTCAAACCCTCCAAAAGACCTCAAAAGCCAAGAAATGTAATAATACCTTTTTTGGGGGTTCTGGGGCCAACAACTATTAATCTTGAAACCATAGGTTTTTTGTAAGGCTTGGGTGGTCTAGGTAGAGTTGAAGGTCACAGGTAGTTGAAAGCTTCTAGGGCTGAGGGTCACATGTTTTGCAGCTTATATAGGCTTTTAGGTTTGAAGGTCGCAAGTTACAGGCTTATGGGCTTGAAGGTCGCAGGTTTAGGGCTCAGCTTTGAGGTTTGGGCTTGCAGCTTCTTTTCGCAGAATGTCAAGTTTGGGTTTCTGACTTGCTTTGTAAAAGAGATCGCTCTAGCATGCTTTGGGTAAACCCCCTCCCTCTGTGAATAAAGCCCCTGACCCCGTACCCAAAAAGGTATGATTTGGGCAACCTACCTTGATTCATCAGTCAACCTAAACCCAAAATCCTAATCGACATGAGTTTCTAGGGAGTGATTCGGCCTCGCTCCCCTCAGCGCTTCCTGTTTTGGGTACATGCAATGTAGCCCAGATGGTTTGTTGTGGCAAATATGTACTGGGTTGGGCTCCCACCCACTAATGGTGGTATACTAGGAATATGCAAAGGCCCTAGTATAATTACCATTACCTCTTGTGGTCACTATTAGTGGGTGGGGCCCCCTTTGCCATGAACCCTCAAGTCCTGACTTCTCACCGTCAGGACTACGAGCATTTTGGCCGTGTGGAGGACAGAAGCATGGATGATCTGAAGGAAAGCCTGCGAAACAGTGGTTGGGAGGTGCCAGTCCTGCTTGCGAGTTTCTGTGGTGGCTTCATACAAGGACTCTATACCTAGACCCCCAAGTACCACCCCACCCGCACAGAGGACCTGCATAGACCCGGTTCAAAGGCAGTTGGGAAGTTCTGGTATTCCTGTGAGAAGAAGGACAGCATCTTCTTCACAATCCCTATATTGGCCCTACATCTTCCTGCCCCCCAAGGCCTTCTGTCTTGAGGGACCCCTATACCGGGATGCTCAGGAAGCCTGGCTTGCTGGTAATTTTATCTACTCATTCCTCTTACATACCTATAGTAGAATCTGCCAAAAAAATACACTGTTTTTGTCATGTAGATCCCTTCATTGTAGGGCTTCTGGTTGCGGGGTGGGTTTCATGTCAAAGGATCTGGCTTCTGGTCTTTGCATGTGCTTTGGGCAAGTGCAGAGCTGTTTTGGGGATAAAGGGATGACCCCAGCAGCGGCAGACCGGCTTGATCGCAGGCAGCATCAAGGCCAGCTCTCTACTTCGCAACCACGCAGTGATAATACTAGTAGGAGTACCAATAGTAGTAATAGTTGTAATATTTCTAATAGAAATAATCGCGTCTCTTCCCAATCAAACTCCCAATCCTGCTCAGCCATTGGGGACATGCCTGCAAAGGCACACACACCTTTTGGGTAAAACCCTGTGCTCCCCTGCCCAAACCCACCGAGAATAAGCAGGGACGCTTTTCAGACTCGCATCACAGGGAGCAGCATTCGTTGTCAGCCACTCTTGTTGGGCCGGATGCGTCCCCAGGCTCCACGGTTCCCTGGATCACACCCGCATTTTACATCCAGGATTTAGGGCTGTTGACTCTTCTGCCTGTGGCACGAAAGGTTTTGCGAATCCAGCAGAGGTCTGTGCCCTATTTTTCTCTGGCGATCTATGTCTTTGGTCTATTCAAGAGGAGCCCTGAACTTCTTTCCAAATTCGTTCAGACACCGCAAGTACCGCTATCATTGCCAAAGCTGTACTCTGGCTGTTTCGGTGCTGCAAGTCCAAATCGATTTATTCTCCAACCCTAACCCCTGTACATCTTAAACCTGAAGCCCCCCAGTAGACGATCGCTCCAGGTGCTGTCATGGCGTGGTATCAGAGCAGCTGCTGTGAAGAACATCGTTGTGGCCCAGGCATGTGGGGTTTTCTCAACCAGAAGGATTAATGGTTTTGGGCCAAGTTCGGGATTTAATTAGGCGTTCAGGTTTGGAGTTTAGAGCTTGGATTACATGGATTTTGGGGCTTAAGGTTTCCCAGTGGAAAGAATTAGTTCGGCAAGAAAAGTGTCAGATCGGGATATCAAGACGTTAAGGGTTTCAGGGGTGTAGGGCTTAAGAAAGGGTGCCATACTTCTGAAGGTAGCCGTCTAGAGTTCGCAGGAAGTCACTCACGAAAGCTTATGATGAACAACCGTCGCCACTCTTATCCAGGCATACAATGCCCGTATGTCTGTCTTTGTGTTTAGCGATGGGGTTCTTGCTCGCCTGCTGCGCCCTAAGCCCTCTAACTTTGATTTTTCACTCTATAAGAACCTTGAATCCGTCACCTGAAGCGTCCAACCCCAGCTCTTGACCCTAGACTCCCCTAGGCTTGAACAAGCACTCAAATTGAGTTTCCCCGTCCGGCGAAGGTCGTCGAACTCCTCCGCGAGAAACAGGCGGTGGCGTCTCATGTGTGGATCTACATCTCTTGTCATTCGCAATCATGGCGTCTCGGCCCCTTCTGGGGATTTAGGCTTTCAGGCCTTTCGTTGTTGTTCATTGCTCTCGTTTTTTCGGGACTTTGGGATTAATTACTTTCAAGCCAAGCATTCAAAGTAATTAGACTTTCTTTACGCAGGCCTTGGGCTACCAAGGTATGGGATGCCACAGTTTCTGCCTGTGGATGCCAAAACCTGGGGTGATGGAGCATCTGGGTTGGCCTTCAGCACATATATACATATATATCTGTATAGTCCCGCTTACGTAGATAGAATTCTGGGTTATATGTAGGGATCTATACCCAAAGACATATTGTATCTACTTAAGGGGGACTATGGCTTAAACAAGTTCCACATGTTTTCCTTTGTTGGTTTCATAGGGACTCAGTATATCCATAAACACCACGCCAGAGCCAACCAAGGTATATTGGGACTATTTGGGTATATATTGGGGTTATATAGGGATAATGGAAAAGAAAATGGAACCTACAGGGATTATAGGGTTTTATATATTTATATACCTTTGCATGTGTATATGTAAGGTATCCATTCATCAGCTGGTCCGTCAATTGGACCAGTCAAGCGCTGCAATTGCCTCTTCAATGAGGTTTGGCAAGCTTTTTTCTTTTCGCTAAGCACTGCCCCCAACTGCAGCAAGCCGAGCCCGTCAACCAGAC